CGGTTCTCCGTCGTCACGGGCGTTGAGTCTCTCTCGGAGCCACCGACCTGCTCCTGGGAAGGCGGCGAGACTGTCCAGACGCCGTCCTTTTCCTTCCCGCGAAGTCGGCTCGGAGCCCTCAGCCTCGCGCCGGACAGTTTTGACAGGTGTCTGTCGCCGCGGGCGGTAAGGACATTAAAACGCGGCTCGGAATGGCTGTGTCGCGTTGCTTCCGTGGCCTTGGCCTTTGGTTTTACTTGGAGGGACTGAGGGTACCCTGGGCCGAAATGGAAACATGCTAACGGGGAGAGAAGGCCCTCAAACTGTCTCCTTGTAGAAAGAATCCTTTTCTTGTGACTGAAGCCATCCTCCTCACCTGTACATATCTTCTTGCGCGTGTTACTACGTGACCCCACTCCAAATGTGTTTTGTAAACAATGGAATAAACCGAAATGATTTTAAACGCCTTGCCGCTACGCCTCTGGGAGCCTGAGGCGGTAGGATGGCTTCGGGTTTGCTTCAAGAAAACAAAACCCAAAACTGGGGTAGGGGTAAACCCAAATTAATGTAATCCTTCGGAGGCAAAGTTTCCGCACCGCGTTGATTTTACGCCCATACATACATTAAATACAAAAGGAACATACAAACTGAAAGGCTTAGCAGCTTCATAGTATTATCCTGTGTATGTTTTTTGAGAGTTTTTTTTTTCTACTTAGTAAATGCTTGCTGCCCTTAAATCACAGCTCCTTGTTTTACCTCTGATATTTATATCGAATATGGTTCTTCCCTATATTGATTGTGACATTATTTTTGCCATTGGGGGGGGCTTTATCTTATAGTATAACAGAAAATCCTCTTCAAAACAAAGAGATGCCTGACTTAAGGGTTTTTAACCTAAGATCACTTTGTTTTAGCTGAGTGATTAGTTGGATTTGTAGCGACTTAATGCCTTGAACATTCCGATTTAAAAATCATTTTTTTACATTAATACTGTAGCTTTGTAGTTGTTGCTTGGCACTGTTTTCAAGGTGAATGTTCATTTGAAAAGAATTTTTTTTAAGTTACAGTTAGGTGTTCACTCATCTATATAACCTGTTTCTTGTATTTAAATCATGAATTTCCTGTGTTTCTCTGAAAGTATTTTTTAATGATAGGCCAGTGGCATGCAAAGCTTCTGCATACTTGAATGGCCTTGAGAACTTTTAAAAATCATGATGCCTTTGACAATGGTGGCATGTACTTCTTCTTTCTGTTTTATTTCTCTTTACATTCCAATCCCAATTTCCTTCCTTCTGCTCCTCAGGGAGGGTAAAGAGTTCCCTGGAGGGGCTGGAGAGATGGCTCAGAGGTTAAGAGCACTGACTGCTCTTCCAGCGGTCCTGAGTTCAATTTCCCAGCAACCACATGTTGGCTCACAACCATTCATTATGAGATTTGATGCCCTCTTCTGGTGTGCAGATATACATGGAAGCAGAATGTTGTATACATAATAAATAAATAAATTTTTTTAGAGGTTTTATTTATTATGTATACAGTCTTCTGCCTGCATGCCAGCAGAGGGTACCATATCTCATTCAAGGTATATGTAAGCCACCATGTGGTTGCTGGGAATTGAACTCAGGACCTCTGGAACCCCGTGTCCAGGCTGAGCATGGTGGGCTCCACAAAGTCAGTTTATGCATAATAGTTAGATCTTAGTCCCATTGCCAATGGCTTCATATACTGCCCATGCCATACCATTGTCAGCTGTATTCAGGGGTCCTTGTTCAGTCCTGTGCCGGTTCCCCAGTTGACAGTGTAGAGTCAATGATCTCTTAGTGGCTCTGGTCAGCTGATTCTGTAGATTTCCCCATCATGGTCTTGACTCCTTTGTTCATAATATTGATCCTCCCTCAATTCGATTGTATTCCAGGAGATTGGCCAAATGGTTAGTTATAGATCTTCACATCTGCTTCCATTGTTTCTGGAAGATGGATCTAGCTTCTCTGGGGTTGTGGATTGTAGGCTGTGTTTGCTTTATGGCTGGTATTCAATTATGAGTGAATAGTACTATATTTGTCTTTCTGGGCCTGCATTACCTCACTCAGGGTGTTTTTTTTTTCTAGTTCTGTCTATTTGCTTGCAAATTTAAATATGCCATTGTTTCTTACCACCGAGTAGTACTCCATTGGTACATTGTGTAAATTTTCCTCATTTTCCTTATCCATTCTTCTGTTGAGGGACATCTAGGTTGTTTCCAAGTTCCGGCTATTATGAATATAGCTGCTGTGAACATAGTTGAGCAAATGTCCTTGTGGTGTGAGTGTGCCTCCTTTGGGTATATGCCCAAAAGTCGTATTGCAGGGTCTTGAGGTAGGTTGATTCCTAATTTTCTAAGAAATTGACATACTGGTTTCCATAGCTCTGTACAAGTTTGCACTCCCACCAGCAGTGGAAGAGTGTTCCTCTTATTCCACATCCTCTCCAGCATAACAGTCGTCAGAGTTTTTAATCTTAGTAATTCTAATTGGTGCAAGATGGGATCTCAGAGGGGTTTTGATTTGCATTTCCCTGATGACTAAAGATGTTGAGCATTTCCTTAAGTGTCTTTCTGTCATTTGAGATTGTTCTGTTGAGAATTCTCTGTTTAGATCTGTACCCCATGTTTTACATTGGATTATTGGGTAGTTTGATGTCTAGTTTTTTGAGTTCTTTGTATATTTTGGAGATCAGCCCTCTGTCAGATGTGGGGTTGGTGAAGATCTTTTCCCATTCTGTAGGGAGCTGTTTTGTCTTGCTGACTGTGTCCTTTGTTTTACAGAAGCTTCTCAGTTTCAGGAGGTCCCATTTATTAACTGTTGCTCTTAGTGCATGTGTTACTGGTGTTACATTTAGGAATTGTTCTCCTGTACTAATGCATACAAAGTGGGTACTTCCTACTTTCTCTTCTGTGCAGTTCAGTGTGGATGGATTTATGTTATGGATTTAATGTTTGATCCATTGGACTTGAGTTTTGTGCGTGGCAATGGATATGGATCTATTTGCAGTCTTCTACATATTGACCTCCAGTTATACCAGCACCATTTGTTGAAGATGCTTTCTTTTTTCCAGTTTATATTTTTAGCTTCTTAGTCAAAGATCGGGTGTTCATAGGTGTGTGGGTTAATATCAGGGTCTTCGATTCGATTCCATTGGTCCACCTGTCTGTTTTTTTTTTTTGTCAATACCAAGCTGTTTTCATTACTATAGCTCTATAATAGAGCTTGAAGTCAGGTTTTGTGATGCCTCCAGATGTTCCTTTATTGTACAGGGTTGTTTTTGGCTATCCGGGGGATTTTTGTTTTTCCATATGAGTTTAGTATTGTTCTTTGGAGGTCTGTGAAGAATTGTGCTGGGATTTTGATGAGTAATGCATGTAATCTCTAGATTACTTTTGGTAGGATTGCCATTTTTACTATGTTAATCCTACTTATCTATGAGCATGGGAGATCTTTCCATTTTCTGATATCCTCTTCAATTTCATTCTTCAAATACTTAAAATTCTTGTCATTCAGGTCTTTCACTTGTTTGATTAGTTATTACAAGATATTTTATGTTGTTTGTAGCTATTGTGAAGGGTGATGTTTCTCTGATTTCTTTCTCAGCCCGTTTATCATCTATATATAGGAGGGCTACTGATTTTTTTTGTTGTTGTTGTTAATCTTGTACCCTGCTACATTAAAAAGCTGTAGGGGTTCCCTGGTAGAATTTTTGGTATAACTTATATATACTATCATGTCATTTGCAAATAGAGAAAATTTGATTTTTTCCTTTCCCATTTGTATACCTTTGATCTCCTTTTGTTGTCTTGTTGCTCTAGCTAGCTAGTATTTTAAGTACTATATTGAATAGATATGGAGAGAGTGGACAGCCTTGTCTTGTTCCTGATTTTAGTGGAATTGTGTTTTCAGTTTTTCTCCATTTAGTTTGATGTTGGCTGTTGGCTTGCTGTATATTGCCTTTATTATGTTTAAGAATGTTCCTTGTACCCCTGTTCTCTCCAGAACCTTCATCATGAAGGGATATTGGATTTTGTCGAAGGCTTTTTCAGCATCTAATAAGATGATCATGTGGGTTTTTTTTTTTCCTTTCAGTTTGTTTATATGATGGATTACTTTAAGGGATTTTCGTATGTTGATCTATCTCTGGGATGAAACCTACTTGATCATAGGGAATGTTTCTGATGTGTTCTTGGATTCAGTTTGCCAGTATTTTATTAAGTATTTTTGCATCAATGTTCATGAGAGACATTGGTCTGTAATTCTCTATCTTAGTTGTGTCTTGTGTGGTTTGTATATCAGGGTAACTGCAGCCTCATAAAAACAGTTTGGCAGTGTTCCTTCTGTTTTTATTGTGTGGAATAATTTGAGGAGTATTTGTATTAGTTCTTCTTTGAAATTCTGATAGAAATCTATCTGAAACCATATGGTCCTCGACTGTTTTTGGTTGAAGCCCTTTGATGACTGTTTCTATTTCCTTAGGGGTTATAGGTCTATTTGTTTATCTGGTCTTGATTTAATTTTGGTATGTGGTACTTACCCAGAAAATTGTGCGTCTCCTTAAAGATTTCCAATTTTGTGGCATACAGGTTTTTGAAGTGTGATCTGATGATTCTCTGGATTTCCTGTGTCTGTGGTTGTGTCCTGCTTTTCATTTCTGATTTTGTTATTTTGGATATTTTCTGCCTTTTGGTTAGTTTGAATAAGGATTTGTCCATCTTGTTAATTTTCTTGAAGAACCAACTCTTTGTCTCATTGATTTTTTTTTCTTTTTTGTTTGTTTGAGACAGGGTTTCTCTATAGCTTTTGAGCCTGTCCTGGCACTCACTCTGTAGACTAGGTTGGCCTTGAACTCACAGAGATCCTGCCTTT